ACCCTGCACTTTCCCAGAATCTAATTCTAACCTAAGCTAAAACTATCACTTTCCAGTAATCACACCAATGAGAAAGGACTTGGCCACTATAGCACTAAAAATTTGTCCAATGGGATCTGAGACGGACCATCTTATCTATGGCGATATGTATCGTCAGAGTATGTGTTTGGTGCATATATCCGTATCCTGTTGCAGAAGTGTTATCCTTTTTGGTAATAGATTCAATATTATTAGATTTTTCAAAGTTAATCTGACTAACGCACTGATCTGTCCAGATCTTTTGGATATGCTCAAATATGAAGTACATGAAGGCTGAAAGAATCACTAACGTGAGGTCCTTCGTTCTCATGGCTACCAAGATGAGTTTGTACAGTGAATAAGGTACTAAACCTTTAATAAGAGCTATAAGATACTGTGTATAATTGATCGTTATATACCATATCGGTAATGCTTGTATTTCTGCAAATATGTTATCATTCTTGATTAAATCACGGAGAAAAAGTTGGGAGTTGTGATAATAGATTTCATTGAGGTCTATGACGTGGGGCATTCCCAGATGTGATTGAATGTTTCATCGTCATTTTCACATCTGATGCACAGCCAGGTCTGGTTGAAGACGTTCGGATGTCTTACTTTTAGAACTTCCATGGTGGGAAGTAATTCAATTAACCTTTGGAGTTTCTTTTTCTTTACAGCTAAAGCTTCGTACGAGGGCGGGCGGAGGCTATATTATTATTTAAGCAAAACGCAGTGGCCAACCAATGTATGTTAAGATGATGGTGTTTATTAATGGCGACCAGGTTTTGGAAATTGTTGTACGTTATGGATTGTGTTATATCTTGTATGAGTGGTCATATAGGGACTGTGACACATATTCCTTTGTAGCTGATGTAATGTTGTTTCATGTATGTAAGGTTGAACAGTAAAGCAGAGGAGTCATAACACTGCTTTGCCAATTGGTCTACTTTCTCATTGTATAAGTCGCCCGAGTGTGCTTTGACTTTATGTAAGACAATAGTTAGGCACTGTTTGTCTATAACTTCGAAAAGGCTAAACCAAAGTGGGTAATTTGTAATTTTTAATCTTCTTCTTCTTCTTCTTCTTCTTCTATATCTGATAATTCACTATTTGATTCTACATTATGATGATAAATAATTTCAAAATTATTTGATACATTATTATTATTCATTTGACTAATTTCTCCAGATTTTTGATTTTTTTGATTCCAATTTATAATTTGACTTGAGGAACTTGAGGAATTATTTAAAGAGATTATTGTATCAGATTGAACAGATATTTGATTCTGTGATACTTCCATCTCACTATTTTTTGAAATAATCGCTCCAAGTGTTGAAACAACATCCTGTATATTAGGACGTTCATCCGGTTCATATTTCCAACATTCTAATTAATAAACCGAGATTAGAATTCCTTATTTTTGAAAAAATAATATTTAATTAATATAAAACATATTTACGTTCATATAGATTACTATATTCTATAGGAGTTCCACAAATGATTGTTTCTCTTTCTCCATTGATTATTCTTAAATTTAATATTCTCTCATCATTTTCAGTATCTTCGTCATAAAATGATCTTTTTCCACTTGAAATAAGCCACATCAAAACTCCGATACTATATACATCGGACTTATTATTAAATTTGTATTTCTTATTTTCTCGATAATTTAAAATTTTTGGATCCATATAGAGCAATACTCCCATCAAATTTGGTTCATTACTTGACGAGTCAGTGGTATTTCTCGATAAACCAAAATCTGCTAATTTAATTGATCCTTGATGTATGAGTATATTTCTTGCATGTTAATTACATAAATATGAGTTAATAAAAGAACTTTAATAAGATAAACAATCATTTACAAAAGTTGATTATTTACCAGATCACGATGGACAATATCACGATAATGCAAAAATTCTACAGCACTTGCCAGTTGCAAAGCTAGCTGAAATTTGTCACTCCAATCAAGTTCTTTGAAATTCTCTTTTAAATATGTATACAAAGTGCCACTATCGGCATATTCCAAGACTAGCGAGTGTTTTTTCATTGCATTTGCTGTATAAATTAAGAATATTAGTAATATTAAATAATTTTTACATTATATTTCTAAAACTTACCGGTTTCTTCGCTTGTGATTCCAAAAATTCGTATAATATTTGAATGAAAATCAACTTCTTTATGTAATTTTATCTGTATGGCATTTAAAACAAATTTATTCTATCTGATTAATAAATCTAATTTAAAATAACTATAATATATATTCGTACCTCTTTTACAATATTCTTACGTGTCGTTTTATTGGTATTAAAAGATTTCAAAGCAACATAACAGCCCTGATTTTTCCAATAAGCATGCATAACTTCTCCAAATGCACCATTTCCTATTAGTTGAAGATCTTGAAATTCCGAGTATTCAAAATGATTGATGTGTTAATTAGCAATAGAATTTTCTAACCATTCAATATATTTTTTATTATTTGCCATTTTTTAATGTTAAAAAAAAAATAAAAAATTTCCCGAGATGTTTTTGGAAAAGGAGAACAATGTGAACAATTGTAATGCAAGGCGCACATCGATAGTTTTAGGACTAAATTGTTTCCACGCCACGTGATCGATTTGCCGCGTTTAAAATAAGCCATATCGATATATATAAAAATAATTTATTAAAATTAAATTAGTGATCAACGTAACCAAAAATCAACGGCACGTGACGGATCATATCTATAATATCTATAGATAGGTTTTTAATGTCATTTTTTTTTTAAAAAATATTCAAATCTTCTTTTCTTTCTAAGTAAAACTTGGATAAAAAGTAAAATGTAATTTGGAATTAATGATTGTTGTTGCTAAGGTTAATTTATAAATAAAATAAAATTTTTTTCAACAAAAATTGATCATCTATTCATTAGAAATGATCGATAAAATGATGGCTTTACACATTATTTAATATATCGTTCCGAGTATTTTCAAAATCGAAGAACGTTTAAGTCGTGACGGATCGACTGATCAAGAAACTATGATACGATCGATTTTCCCGATTAGTATGAGCTTTTGCTGAGAGTCTAGGACCTAGTTGTCTTATATCCAGGATATTGTTCGATTGTTCTCATGAATGATTTGTTATATTCTTATTTTGTGAGATAAATGAGACATTTACTTTCGAATTTATTCCATTGCTGATGGAAATAATCCTGTGTAAGTGTCCTTAACCGAAATATTTTTAATTCTAAAATAGTGACTCCTGACAAAATATTACACCATATCACATGATAATATTGTCAAATATGGTAATTATTTATAAAAAAAAAAAAGATTTTGAGATGAGAGATCGTGAACGACAATTGTGACGACGAATACATTTTATAATAACCTGATTGAATTGATAATGTTAGTTTAAGAGTTGGAAGGGTGGAGTAATGTTCGGTTACATTATTATTATTTTTTAATTTCTTCGTCACGATTCGGGAAAGGTATTCAATACTTTCTATATAAATAATTCAAACATGGACAACTCCTCAAACCCTCCCTCCAATCATGATGAAAAAAATATTTCTCTGATTCGAAACCTTTAATCAGGATTACATTTTGTGGTATTTATCCACGAAGTTGGTACAGTAACAATTTTGAGTCAATCCACGAAGGTTTATGAGTATATCAAGTACCAGATATCTCGCAAAATTGTGAATTCCCACCAAAAAAGAACTCACAATAATTTTTCGAATATAAGATAATCGAAATTACTGTAATTTTTTTTTTCACATATCGGTATATATCTGAAATCCTTTCATTTCTGAAAAGTTCTTAATGAAAATATATTAATGACTCTAAAAAATATTGGTTAATAAATTATAAATTTATTAATTGATTCTCGAGTGATATTCATTTATCATAATTTACTAGGAGTTAGATTCACGAATTGTGTTTACTTGTATTACATGGTTACATCACATTATTTTTAAATAAAAAATTGGTCAAGGTCTAAAGTGAAGAATCTTCAGACTAATTTAGAACGAATTAGAGCGCATTGGAGAAATATAAACATATTATTTTAATCATAATCCCAAAATTTTATTGTCCAGATCAAATCACTAGTATCCTAATAACAGGATAAATCCTTATAGCTGGAGAATTAATAGGAGCTACAGTATTAGTATAGGGATCATTTGCTGAAACTGGTATATATTTTCCTCCCAACTTGGATTTTAAAAGACCATTAATACAATATTTCGGGATAATTGCTACTGTTAACTTTCACACCATTCTCCACAAATTCTAATATATTAGTTTTGTACTTGCTAACTTTCTTTAATTAGGACAATATGCAATACTGAATTAATAATAACATTTAATTCTCAGAATATATGGGAGGAAATTGGTTAAAATAAAAGTCTATTAATAAACATAATAATTTATTTCAAAAAATATTAGCATTAAAGAGGCCTGAATTGGAGGGAGGAAATTTTTTGGTTAGGGCTCGAGAAATTCTTCATTTTAACTCGCTACTCCAGTGAAGTCCTTTTTATTCTCATTTTAATAAAAATAATAAAAGGTTTTTAAGGAAATATGCATATTGATTAGCTTAGAATCAATAGTTTTAGTTATGGAACATGAAAATCGCCTGTGCTCGAGAGATTAAAGGGATAGTTTTTACATTATATTCTTATGTTTAAAAAAATTATCTTATTGGAAAGAAAAGCTCAAGACATTTCCGCGGAATTTTTGTTCATCTTTGACAATCATCTAAATAGTAAATACGTTCTTCTTGATAATTCTAGCACATATTTTTTGCACCTTCTCAGTTCCTGTCAGCTGAGTGAAGATCGCTTTATTAAAATTTTGTGGCCCATAGCATCTTCCAGTAAAAGGACCGAAAAATTCTTTCCAGTACCTTTTACAGACCGGTAAGAGTTTAAGTTTCTGGAAGGATGCTGATTTGTAAAAATGAAAATATCACCTTACAGGTTGCTTTTTTATATTCATATTAAATAATTTCTTATAAATGCTTTTTCTTTTAAGCATTACGACTTACATATATACATGTATTTACAACCATATTGTTGAAATAAAGATAGTGTTGTATTCAGTTCTTTTGTTTATGTATTTATAAACAATTTTAAATGTAAGCAGAAGGTTTTTATTGAGTAAAAATGAAATAATAATTATTTGATATTATCAAATTAATCAGTGTTGCCCCAACATCGGCGCTCTACACTTTCGCTTGATCAATATTTTAAAATCTATAAATGCCAAGTCTAAATTCTAACTACGAAACAATTACATAAAAATTGAATTATAAAATATTAATAAATCGGAAATTAAAAAAAATAATAAACTATGTTACATATGCGAAATTTAAAAGATGAAACGGCGAAATCGAAATTATCGCGAAGGCTTGAATGTAAATCAAAGAAATATCACAAGGGCGAACGTGGTATTTGAGCTGTTTAAGGACTTCCAGCTCGGTATATATAATAAAAAAAAATTAAGCCAGCCTGTCAAATGACATCAAAAGGACTAACTGAAAATATCGAAAGCGATTTTCATGCGGAATTATGAAGATTTCGGCCGGAATTACATTCAATTGTAACAATAGTGATATCTATTACTATACTCGCATTTGAAAACAACTTTAGCTGATTGAATATGCTAAGGAAATAAAATGAATATATTGTATCTGATGTGGATTCGGTTAAGATATGAAGTGATGATTCTAACGATGGAAACTATTTTAATGTTTACGATCCAGACTACGCAAAAAGGAAAATTTTTAATGTCTGGTGAAGGTTTTTGACCATTCTAATAGAAATTTTATGTGAAATGTGTTCAAATTATTATATTATACAGGGATTTGAATTTAAAATAAAAATTTTTTTTTGATAGGGATAAAAAACTATAAAACGAAGCGCAATAACAATTCTTTATTATTCTGATGCTGTCAGATTTTCTTTTGATCGAATCTGGTCTGACTAACACCGTTCTCTTTTTTTCAATAATTAATTATTTCAGTAATTAGAACGTTGGACAAACTATTGGAAGTTATACTTGCATATTATAAATTCAACGAAGTTGCTCATTTTATCGATGAGAGTCGCGTAAAATATATTAAATATATTCACGTTGAACATGTTAAATGAAAAATTCCAACTCAAACAACGTGGAATTAAAATTGAGGGCTATTGATTTTTATTGGATCACGAGATACAAGAAATGGAAAAGTTTGGCGATATGTGGAGTGTTACAAACCTTGAGGATGTATCCAGAGCAATAGAATTAACGTGACAAGTCTGGATATGAAGTGTTCATTGGAAAAAATTCCCATCGCACAATGATTATCGACTTTCTCATATAATATCGACGGGTTAATTCAGTTCCGGATTACCTTTCATTGTGCTTATTTAGAAAGTTCGTTGAGAATATTGTTCTATTCATTTGATTTTTTTAATTAAAAATTGTAAAGAAGCTCAATAGCCACATTCAAAATTTCAAAATATCTTAGGTTTCACACTCATTAAACAATTATTTTCGATTTTTGAAAAAGCACTAAATATCAACGTAATTACTCCTCAGGATGCAGCTGAACACAATAATGCGCTTCCTCCAGAATCATCACCTGCAGACGAAAAATATCCTCATATTGATGCCTCTAACTGCGTAACCCCTTTGCAGAAAAAGACAAATGAACAGCTTATTACGATCTGCCATCGACAACAAAGACGCATATCATCATTCACTACAGTCATCAATAGTCTTTCCTCCACATGTGCAGACTTCCAACAAATCCTTCTAAACAAAGGTCTGATGAGTGAACATGACGCTAAAACCTTTATTCCTATCACTGATACTCTAGATAAAAATATTGAAAGCTGCCTCGGTAGCTTCCAGCAATAATCTTATCGCATTTAATGAACACTGTCTCTACAAATACAACCCTTGATACGAACGATATCACTGCCCAAACTAATTCCTTGCCAACTATTAACATTGCATCACATAACGTTAGATCCTTCAACAATTCTGCCAAACAAAACTATTTAATATCTCTTTATGAGTCACATAATCTCGATATTATCGGCCTCCAAGAAACTAATTTCAAATCCACCAACTCCTCCATCCTCAATAGATCTTTTCCAAACTTTACTACCTTCACCAGTACATACCAGGAGAGCCAAACCAGCGGGTTTGGTGTCAGCCTCTCCTTCAGTAAAAAACTTGCCAAACATGTTTTCAAATACGATTCAAAATACGATCGCATCATTTACACTAAATTACAATTTGCTGACAAACAAAAGCTATTGGTTATCAATGCATACTTCCCACCACTCAACCCTGGTTCAAAAGTACTATGTAAATCTATGCAT